TTACAACAATAATGAACATTCATGAAGTGAAAAAAAGGGAAAATTAAAATAAACCTTAAGTATTGAATAACAAATTTTAAATTAAATTGAAGCTTTATTTGAATAAAATTTTATTGCATCGAATTTCGAAATAACAAACAAAATGTTTCAAATATTGATGTTTTAACCTATTTGCATAAAGATGTATAATTGGTTTACTTATGCGTTTGTTATACCATTATGTGTGAGTAGTTATATTTTTTAATAGTTCTTTCTATACCTAATTTACATTATACCATTCGACTTAGAAATCACTTCGTGAATGGTTCAACAATCCGCATTTATCAAGATTTCTTTTGGTTTCAATATTAAAAAACTCTATTCGATAACCCCAATGAGACGGGGACGAGGTGCCTCCCCAGATTAAGGTAGTCCGATGTTAACTTCGAAGGGAGGGTGCCGATGATTGCAATACACAAATATATTGGTTATATTCCGTTAAAACTATGTCCGTCTCTGAGTCCATGAAGATCTTGTGGTCAAGGTTCGAACTTGTATTTAATACAAAGTATCCCGTTGTTTATGACTTAATTTTCAATGTAAGTTTTTGCTGGGTACTTACATATTTTGGACCATTTTTGAATTTTAAAGATTTTGTGGTATGTATTTAACTGTTGAATGTTTAAGTACAACTGTACTGATTGAGAAACCTTTAGGAGAAATTCTAAATAAAATTTTAAACTTTTATATTGCTAAATTAAATAACGGTCACTATTAGAAATCTTTCATCCTCCATTTAAATACTTCACAGTTAGTCGCTGTAAACATTGGAATATCATTTCTAATTTTTCTGTATTTGTATACCCACTATCACAAAAGACTTTGTCATTCCGCTTGTAACACATCGAAATATTATTGGTCATAGACCGTCAGCCTGTTAAAACACGATAGTATCAGAACGAACGGTTGAAATTTTATTTCCTATAGGTAATGTTTTTATACACACCATCAAAAAAAGGTTTTGTCATTCCGTTTGTAACACGTTGAAAAATTGGTCATAGACCCACAAAAGTATTTATATTCTTATGCATCTAGAAATTGTACTGTGATGTATGGCGGATATGCTCAAACACAAACAAGTTGTACAAAAACAAAAATCTCTCTATCAATTTTGATAAGGAACGGTTGATAATTGACCCTAACCCCCATATAAGGTCCCCTTCAGAAAATGAATTTAACTCTCACAACTGGCTTAATAACAGGATCTGAACCTGAACACCTATGTAAGGTTCCCTTTAGAAAATGACTTTAAGGCTCATATATGAATATAGCTTAAATATATGAATATAGCGATGAAATTTGACATACATAAATTTCTTACGAGGCAAAATCTTTCCACTGAATTGTATGAGAATCGGTGCATAATTGTTCCTACCCTCCGTATAAGACCCCCTTCAGAAAATGACTTTAACGAAAATGCGAGTACAGTTATGAAATTTTACATAAACAAGTCATTTAAGAATAAAAATCACTCAAAATTTTATAAAGATTGGTCCATAATTAATCCTACCCTTACATAGAAACCAACTTTCATAAAAGTACGAATACAGCGATGGAAATCGAAATAAAATATTTTTATAGGAATGAACAATTCATCATTCCGAACGGTTGTATGGGGATATGCAAAATAATAGACCGATTTTAACCATTTTCAATAGGCATCGTCCTTGGGTCAAAAGAAGAGTATGTACCAAATTTCATGAAATTATATTGAAAATTACGATCTGTAGCGTGCGCATAATGTTTACATGGACACACAGACGGACAGATAGACAGGCGGACGGACGGACAGAGGGACATAGCTAAATCGACTCAGGAAGTGATTCTGAGCCGATTTGTATACTATATGGTGGGTGTAGGACGCATAATGTCCTCTCCACTATAGTGATGAATTACGACATTAACAAGTTCTCTGTAAAAACAAGTAAGAAATTATAGTCGGGCTAGGCCGACCATATAATACCCTACACCTGTTACAAAAATAAAATGTGATTTTGTTTTCATAATAAAGCATTGTAGTTGAATTGTACATTGCCTCAGATATACTTAAGCCATTTATTGTTGAATAAAATTGTGGACATTTTAGTCAAATTTTGAAGGGGGCTTTGTATAGGTGCTATGGTCAAATGAGACCCTATAATTATAAAATTCATGAGAGTCATCAAGGCTAGTATAGCACTTGGTTTTGCAGCTTTTTGTTGAGATACGAGTATATTAAAAATAATTATGAATTTAAAAGTCCTATTCGTCAGGTTGGGGGCTAGGTGAAATAATGGACCGCTGTTAACCATTTTCAATAGGCTTTATCTCCGGTACCATAGAAGATCATGTGCCAAATTTCATTGAATTATCATCAAAATTGCGACCTGTAGTTTGATTACAAGGTTTACAAGCCCTATTCCGCGATTCAGTTGTATGGGGGCTAGGTGAAATAATGGACCGATCTTAACCATTTTCAGTAGGCTTCGTCCCTGGGACAATAGAAGATCATGTACCAAATTTCATTGAATTATCTTTAAAATTGCGACCTGTAGTTTGATTACAAAGTTTACATGCACGGACGGACGGACATAGCTAAATCGACTCAGAAAATGATTCTAAGTCGATTGGTATACTTTAAGGTGGGTATAGGACCAATATTATTGTGCGTTACAAACATCAGCACAAACCCAATATACCCTCCCCACTAAAGTGGTGTAGGATATAAAAAATCTATGTACAAAATTTGATGAGTATCGATTCGTAATTGACACTACCCACATATAAGGTCCCCCTCAGAAATTACTTAAGAGATCGTTGCTGGCTTAAAATTACGAGTACAGCGATGAAATTCGAATAAAAATAAGTGTTATACGAACCGAAATCATATTTTACGACAATCGTTATGGTTAAAATTAATATTATTTTTCTAAAGAGCTCGGTCGATAATTGTCTAAAGCCGTATTCCAAATATCACCCTCATGGGATCATTCCTTTTACGACATATGGTTTGGTGGTGGGTATATAAGATTCGGCATAGCCGAATATACTTGTTTTAAATCGGAAGAACTCTGTCCATAAATGACTTAAGCCTTCATTAAAAGCCCTATTACCCTGATGTTCAAATTAATATCAATTTATGATAATATAAAATTCAACATAAGTCTAATAAATGAGTAATTTCTTTTGACAATAACAAAAACATCAATTGATAAATATCGAAGTTTGTTTTTTGGGAAACCTTCCTATTAGGGCATATGATTTAATAGTGGATATATAAGATTCGGCATAGCCGAGTATAACTTGTTCCCTTTAATTTCAACTTAAAAACATGACCTATTAACATTATTTACATTTAAGTGAGCGTGTGCCAGTAAAATCGTCTTTAATAAACTAATAAAAAGGTCCTTTTGTTTTATCTTCTATTTTTTTTTTTTTTTGTGTATTTAGTTGATACTGGGGGGGTTAAACATTGAAATGTATTCATTTGTAGTAAATTCTTTAATAAAACTATATATGCTTTCATCTTAAAGTTTATGACTTTTCTACTTTGACTTTTATCGTGTGCTGCCTATAGAAAACTAAGAAATTCCTTTGAAATATTTGAGTTTGTTACATTTTAATGCTACTTTTTACATTTGATTTTATGTATGTGAATTCGGCTTTATGAATTGGGCGGTTATGGAGTGTATTTTTATGTTTGTTTATTATTTTTATTGTACTAATGTTTTTTATTTGTAGTGAATAAGTAATTTATTGATTGTTGTATTAGTTGGTACGTCGAGTGCCTATTGGGATTTTATGATTTTCAGTGTTTTTGGCTAATATAAAATTTTATGAAATTTATTTATGTTTTCTTTGGCTTTAAGAGGGTATTAAAGGCTTGATTTTTTAGGATATTAAATGCTTGATTTTGTTTTTTTTTTCTTAGTTTAGATTTAATTAGCCTTTATTATACCCTACACCACTTTAGTGGGGAGGGTATATTGGGTTTGTGCTGATGTTTGTAACGCACAATAATATTGGTCCTATACCCACTTTAAAGTATACCAATCGGCTCAGAATCATTTTCTGAGTCGATTTAGCTATGTCCGTCCGTCTGTCCGTCCGTCCATGTAAACCTTGTAATCAAACTACAGATGGCAATTTTGAAGATAATTCAATGAAATTTGGTACATGATCTTCTATTGCCCCAGGAACGAAGCCTATTGAAAATGGTTAAGATCGGTCCATTATTTTACCTAGCCCCATACAACTGAACCCCTGAATAGGGCTTGTAAACCTTATAATCAAACTACAGGTCGCAATTTTGAAGATAATTCAATAAAATTTGGCACACGATCTTCTATGGTACCGGAAACGAAGCCTTTTGAAAATGGTTAACATCGGTCCATTATTTCACCTAGCACCCATACAACTGAACCGGACGAATATGGCTTTTAAGTTCACAATTATGTTTAATATACTCGTATCTCGACAAAAAGCTGCAAAACCAAGTTCTATACTAGCCTTGATGACTCTCACGATCTTCTATGGTACCTGAGACGAAGTCTATTGAAAATGGTTAACATCGGTCCATTATCTCACCTAGCCCCCATACAACTGAACCCCTGAATAGGGCTTGTAAACCTTGTAATCAAACTACAGGTCGCAATTTTGAAGATAATTCAATTAAATTTGGCACACGATATTCTATGGTACCGGGAACGAAGCCTTTTGAAAATGGTTAACATCGGTCCATTATTTCACCTAGCACCCATACAACTAAACCGGACGAATAGGGCTTTTAAGTTCATAATTATGTTTAATATACACGTATCTCGACAAAAAGCTGCAAAACCAAGTTCAATAAAATATAATTATATTTACAATACTTAGCTCGACTTTGATTCGATCATTGTACTAAGGAAATGCCGATAATACAAATGTTTAATTTTTATGCTCCAACTGTAGTAAATAATTAAAACAGTCAAATATTTTATAAAGAGCAAATTTTTTAGTTTTATTTTATGTTATTTTTTTTTTTAACAAAAAATTGCAATTTACATATTATGCTTTTATTAATAAAACAATTCAAGTTGTAGTTAATTGAAATAAATAATCTGATAAAACAATTACAATATAAATATTTTCCAAAAACAAACAAATCATAAAAAATGGAATCTGTATTATTTATTCTATATAATTTTTATATCTTTTGCTATATGTAACAACAAAAATGTTTATATATTCAGTTTAGTTTAAATTAAATAATGTTATTTTTCTAATAAACTCGTATACTTTGCAATTTTGTTATTTAAATTAAACCAATTATTTAAATTTATTCGATATGTTAACCTAAATAAAAGTAAATATTTACTAACTATTTTAAAAATCTTATCAATTTATTTACATTTACTATATAGTTATTTTTGTTGCTTTATTTTACTTCTAACGAATTTTATTTTAGATAAATAAACTATACATACTCATACATACACACATATGTATGTATGTAGTTAAAGAAATATCTGCACTTAAATTTTATTGAATGCATGTTACTAACAAACAAATATTTAAATAAATAAAAAAAAAAAAACAAATAATTTTAAAGTACTAAACAAATAATTGCAAATATTCACAAACAACCATTGCCCCAACAGCCACACCAAGGTATCTTGCCACCAGTGTGAGAACTTACAGATAATTTACGCCTTTGCGAGCGCAAACTAAAACTGGCCGATGACTCTCGTGATGATGCTAAACTATTTGAATTACGATCGGAAAATGAAGCTACAGTCTCGTGATTGCTATCCCGACGGGAATGATGACTGTGATGAGGATTTGTGTTGCTCACCAGAGAAGAGCTGTGTTGATGATGATGGTGATTGTGCTGATGGTGATGATGAGTCCCATTGGTACCTCCACTTACACCACTAATACGTTGATTACCATGTGATACAGTGCCATCGGAGTGACGACGTGAACATTTCGAACGCATGGCATTGGCAGCAGCACAAGCAATTTCCGCTGCGCTGGCTTTTATTGCATCTTGACTATTTTTACGCGGTTGTTGATGTTGTTTTGTCAATGGTGACACAACGTTTGGATAACTATTACTATGGCCATGATTGTGAGCTAGTAGCTGTGATATACCACTCGTATTGGAGCTGTTGCGTTGATGTTCTGGTGTTGAATTGGGCGTGATTGCGATAGTGGGCGGTGTTTGTGTTATGGCCAGTGGTGAACCTTCAAGTTTGCGGGTGGAATGTGGAGTGTTTGGTGTACTCTGGCTAGTCTGTTTGATGTTGCGTAATGCCGGATTTGTCATGACAGCATGTAAGTCCATACAACTACCACTAGTTGTGGGTTGAACTTGAAACGTAGGCATTTGAGTACGCAAAGCTGGCGAAGGTTTTTCTGGTGTTCCTGGGCTATCAGTGTCGGCACAAACTATGGATACTCGTCGAGCTTTTCTTTTGGCATTTTCCATACTCTGCAAGTAATCAATTTATATAAAAAAGAAACAAAATTTTTAACATATTTTACTGAAAAAATTTCACCAAAAATGTCCATATCATTGTTCTTCTCTACTCACCTCTTTCTCATCTTTTACATCATTTACATCATCCTCATTAATATTTTCCGTCATATTACCATCCATATCTAGTGATCTTGTTATATGTGTTGGCTGAGATCGAAATTGTGCTCTTTTGGCAGCTGCATTAGCCAAAGCAGCATATAATTGACTTTTATTAGGCGATACACCAGCTAGCACTGGAGAATTTGTACTAGATTCAGTTGTTGGCAGGCAACCAGTTACAGAGCTACTTCTCGCTATACCAGCACACTTAATATTCAATGGTGTTGGATATGATCGGTTTGGTGGTGTGGGTGGTAATTGTTTACCATTTATGGGTTTTGGTGTATTTACATTCGTAACCAGTGGTGACAAAGGCAACTGAGCTCTTTGACTTAATGGTGAATTCGTTATGGGGGAAGTTTGTGTTGCTGTAGCAGCCACCATGGGTCCTGTAGTGGTTGCTATAATTGCAGCCTTATTAATGCGATCAAATCCTATGTATTTACGATTTTCCGGAAAAGGTTGCATTGGATCCGGTATATGTGGCGATGGACTGTCTGTATGATCTCTTTCCAGAGATCTTGTTCTTCTAGCTGTATTTGTATTCGATTCCGGACTTGTTTCACTATTATCTTTAGTTTCCGCTGGCTTTATTGTAGGATTATCACCTTCATAGGTTAGCAATAAATTCATTTCAGATCTGTATGGTTTATTATTTTTATTGTTCTGCTGCAGTGGCTGTTGCTCAGTTGTGTTAATTGAATCTGTAGATTTATTGTTTAGATTATCACGGGATTTGTTTTTTATTAGTTGTATAGCTAAGATATCTTCTGAAATTGCCTCAATGTCGTTCAAAATTGACTCTAAATTGGCTGAGTCAGTCTAAAAGTATAAGGAACATAAAATGACTTTTGGAAATTGTTTAATTTAAGCAGAAGCATAAATCCTATTAAATTTAGTTTGTTTAGTTATAAGTTAGAAACATGTAGTATAAGTATAGACATAAAATTAATAAAACATAATCAAATATTAGCAGCAGGTACGATAAACCTAATCGCCCCTACATTGATAAAAATTCTAATGTTTGTAATGTACCGAAATGTAGTCGTAGAAACACTAAAGTACATTTGTATATATGTATATACTGCATCCTTGTTGAATTCTAGGACAATATAAAAATTATAATCTGTCTGTCTTATAAAAATTTGATAGGGTCTAAATGGAACTAGAGGGCAAATGCTGGGTTGTTATTGAAAAGGGGTAAAATTTATATATTTTGATCCAGCAATGCCTTGTGGTTTCAACATGATATCTCACACATAAATTGTTTTATTTAAATTTAAATATTGAAGTAACGCGTTACGTTATAACGTTAAGGGCGCCCTGAAACAAATGTTTTCGACGTTTCCAAGTAAAATTAAACCTTGGTGGTTGGGTCAAAAATGAATCGATCATCATCAAATTTGTTCCTACAAAACTTTTTATGCCCACCATCAAGAAAGATGTTTTTGTCATTCCGTTTGTAACACATCGAAATATTCGCCCATAAAACTATATACATATGTATATTCTGGGTCCTTTTAAGATACTAAGACGATCTGGCCATGTCCGTCCGTCTGTCTGTGTGTCTGTTGAAAACACGATAGAGTGTTTTAGAGCTAGCGAGCTAAAATTTTACAAAAATACTTTTAGTTGATGCAGTTTGATTGGTATTGAAAACGGGCAATATCCGTCCACGATTTCGCTTAGCCCCCATATAAGGCCCGCTTAAGAAAATGACTTTATCGCTCATAAATGGCTAAAAGAAGCATCTATAGCGGTGAAATTCGGCACAAACATGTTTTATAGGAACCTAAAACTCTCTGTAAATTTCTATAAAGAAAGGGCCATAATTGACCCTATCCCCGATATAAAGTCCCCTTTAGAAAATGACTTAAACGCTTCTAACTGTCTAAAAGAAGCATCTATAGTGGTGAAATTCGACAGAAACATAATTCGACAAAAACAAGTTTCGTATGAGCCAAAACCTCTCTACTAAATTTTATGGCGATCAGTCTATAATTGACCCTATATAATCCTTATATAAGATTCACTCCAGAAAATTACTTTAACGTTCATCTATGGCTCAAAAGTCTTATAAATTACGGTAGTTTTATAGGAACTGACATTTCTCAACTGAATTTAATGAGGATCGACCTATAACTGATCGGTTTCCTTTAGAAAATTACTTTAAACCTCATTAAATTAAAGAGCTAATTGAACATAAATCTAATAAATGAGAAAATTGCTTCGATAATATCAAAGTTTATTTATATATAAGGCAGTATTCTTTTTCGACAATTATTTGATGGTGGGTATATAGGATTCAATTTATAGATAAAATGAAAAATGTTATGTTATATCGGAACTAGATATATATGAATAACAAATTTTGACACATTACTAGTGTTTATAAGTGAATTATGTACGTTTAAGTAATTTTCTGGATAGGGACTTCGTATGTGAGCTACGGTCAAATGAGGACCTATTATTCAAAAAATCGTCAGTACTGTTTTGGGCTCATATATCGTGGTCACCTAGTCACTAGAGCCTAGTAATACCATGAATCGTTTCACTTTTTTCAATACCTATATTACTTAAATACATATACGAATGAGAAAAAAGAAGTATAAAGTCTAATTAACGGATGAAGACTTCAATACCTTTCATTTGAGATATGAATCAATTAATTCTAATTGGAAGTTTTTGGTGAAAATTTAATTTTTCTCCGATTTAAAACATTTTCAAAAACCATTTTCATATACCAAATTTTGTTAAATTATAAGGGTGGTTATTTTTTTCCAGTCTTGGTTTTATTTAATTACAAAAAAATTTTCATTTCCACATAAAGAAAAGAATCTACATTAAATTTTTCATTCCCCTTCTCCTCAGTTTTGGGATAAATTCAAAAATCAATATATAAAATGTTCAAAATCTATTTATTTCCTCTGATAAAAACCAAATCTCACCTGACACATCGAATCGACAACAATACAATTTGTTGATGTGGTTGACGTTCTCAATGATGTTGTTATTGGTTTTTTAAAGGAAGAATTTATGGTTAAATTACATGAAACACTTGATAATTTTGCCATCGATGACAATGATGATGGTGATGACGTTGATGTTGTTGACGTTGGTGACACAGTTGTTTGTGCTGGTGGTAGTCGTGGCATAATATCAATACAACCGCCACCACCAGCAGCAATTGCAGATGTTATAGTAGTAGAAATACGAAAACTTTGTGCTGCTGATGATGCAGCTGTTGGTATCGGTTGATGTTGTTGCAATTGCAACTGTTGTTGTTTCGCTATACAACACTTAACAATCGATGACATCAGGGGTTGTGTAACAGCAGAAGCGGTGATTAAATTATGGCAAACATTTTGTGCGATTGCATAAACAGGATCATTAGGTTTACGAAAGTTAATATTGGAATTTATAAATTTAAAACAAGCTGCTGGTGGACATGTTGTTGATGTTAAATATACTAAACTCGATGTTGTTCGTAATGTTTCTGCTGCTGCTGTTAGTAATGGTGATGATATTGTTGTTGGTATTGTTAGTAATGGATTTAAAGAATTACATAAAGAATTAGAAGTTAAAACAGTTGTTGTTGTCATTGTTGTTAGTAGTGGACATAAAGTTTTTAAATTAGTTTTCATGCTGGTGCATAAAGTGTTAGTACAGTTTAATGTTGCTGTTGTTATTGTTGTAGTAGTGGCAATTGTAACTTTAGCATTAGAAGTTGTAGAGGTGATAGTAGTGGCATATATAGTTGGCGTTACATATACATCATCGTTATTAGTTACAACAACATTATTATGTTGCTGATAATGACGCATTTGATGTTGTCTACGATGATGCAGTTGTTGCCTATTTCTTTGATGTTGAGTGGAACTTACTTGTGCTTGGATTGTTGATGTACTGGTTATGCGCTGTGGTATTGGTGGTGGTTGCACGGTTGGCTTGTTGGGTGGCCTATAAGGTGATGCCAGGGCATTGGTCACATAAATATCGGGAGGTTCACATTTATGTTGTGGCAACAATGATTGCGCTTGAGATACTGTTTCGGTTACTGGTGGTGGGGGTGGTGGTAAACGTTTTTGATTTGCCAAGGCTGTATTTAACTTCAGTTTGGGTTTAATGGGCGCAAAAAAGTGCTTAGGTGTTGTATTGCCATTGTTTTCGCCATTATTTATTGCTGCTGCACTTGCACAACCATTAGGCGGCAATATTGTTATGGGCACTGTTTCGATAACGGGACTAGTAACACTAAGATCGGTAGGTTTTTTCGGCAATGCAGGTTTCCCATTCGTGGTTGCAATGTCTATTGGAGGAGGTGGTGTCACTGTGGTAGTAGGTACAAATGTAGTTAAAGTTTGTGCTGGTGAACGTTTTGTCATAATGGGCGATATAGAGTTGACTTGATATCGCCTTTGAGCAAAAGGTGATTCCAGATTATAGTCCCAACCATTAGTATGCCTAACAATAGTTTTGCCCGAATTGGTTGTAGACGAGCTTTCAGGAGTGCTACCTGTAAAATTATTTGAATTTTTTTAAACCATTTTCATTCAACAAACTATGTATAACACTTACCAAAATTTGAGTCCATGTGTTGCTGCAAAACATTTTCGAAATATGATAAAGGTGGTACTACAGCCTGCAAATCATTCAATTCATTTGCTACTAGCTCTATAGGAGTAAGAGGTGTTAACGGTCCCACTAAACTAGGAAGGGTGGTTTGCGAGCCACTTATATCGGGAGTATAACCTAAAAGGTTTTCAGCAGGATGCGTTAAAGCCACTTCACTATTACTAAGTGTTTCCTCAGACACCACCGATAAATGATCAAAATTTGTTAATTTGCTTGGACCAGTAGGAGAAGCTTCTGTTGTAGAAGAATTAACTGTATCATTTTGTGATGACACTTCTGGTGTCTGTTGGCCTTCAGCTATATCTGCCAGTTTTTTATTTTCACTACAGCATTCTTCATTGCAGGCAACATCACCTTCTTCGTGGCAACAGCAAGAGTCACAGGAATCAGAATCCTAAAAATATACTTATTTAGAGAACAGTTAAATTACTTTAAACTCGTTTCGTTTACCTCACTATTACATCTACTATGTACACCATCGCAAGTGCAGCCACCATCATTATATTGACAGGAACAAGTATTACCTCCGCTACATCTAACACTATATACACCATGTTCATGTTCTATAAATTTCGCCTTAACACGTTTGTTAAGTCGATCGCATTCATCGCGTAACGTCCAAATTTCTCGTCGTAGTTGTTCATTTTCTTTACGTAAACGTTTTATATCTGTTTGTCCTGGAATAGAGAAAATATTGATAAATTAAAATTAATAAGACAATAAATTAAAATAAATGTAAATTGTTAAATTTGTAAATATTCTTATGTATTTACAAATTTATATATAAGTGATATTTTATACCACTTTAAATGTTAAATGATTATAATTATATGTCAGCAAACACTAGCTTTCACATAGTCCACTTTCCCAGTTCATTCCCCATTCAAGTCACCTGGACCTAATGGTATTTAACCAAAACGTTGTAAATGAGTTGGTGGTTATTGTATATGATACTGGATGAATGTACAACCCTTATACTTAGAATAAGTGTGTCGTATGTTCTTCTCTTATGATTGTGTCGGATAAATGAGAAGTGTGCTGTGTTGAATGATGATGGATGAAAGGTATCTTATACAAGTGATACCGTTGAATTTTCCTTCCTTGTAGAGGTATGTTCAGAGTAAACTCAGTTCACTGTGAGTTAGAACAAAGTCTCGGCTTTTTTGATGGATTCGTACTTCGGTTTACCGGTTACGTCTTTAGGTGCTGTTGCTGACTCATCCCATCTGCGTGGTTGTAAACGAAAGTGATGTTTTTGCATCTCGGAAGTTAAGCAACGGGGCAGCAATGGTCAGAGATTTGATAGCTCAAGTACTTGAGCAAAGTGCACGTATACTAGATTGCCACCTGCGTGTAAGAAGCACAATGGGGCTGAGGTGAGTCTTCGCAAAAACTCACCCAATGGTTGAAAAAGACCACAATGAAATACGCCAACATTGCAGTTGTTCACGTAAAGCACTTCGACATTTCTTGTCCTCTGTCCAGACTCAATGACCTATTGAAGTCTAAAATACATGAGTGGTGTGGTCTTAACAAAACACACACTGCTATAAATTTATACACAACTATTTAAACATTATAATGCCCCGAGGAACAGCTGTTTTAAGAATTTCATGTAAGAATATCTCTCAATCGATGCGTATTAATGTACCGTTCGTGAGAAAAATTAAAAAAACAATTTTGTTGAAAATAGGCGTTAGTTCCCTACCATTGATTGAAAGTTTTGATCTCAGTGAAATATGTTAAAAAAAATGTTCGGCAATCTCTTCCAAATGGATCTCAAAAATTTTGTGCTTATGGCGGGAAAAATAATTAACATTTTTCATAGAGTATTTTTGGTTCAAAAACGAGTTTTAGTAAGGGGAAATGGACCAAATCATTTTTTAAATATTTTTCTGTATAAGCTAAAAATTGCCATAATCATTTGAGAAGTAATCCTACAAACAATTGGTAACGGGACACCCTAACGAACATATGAAATTTATATTCAAACAAATGAATGAAATTCGATTAATGCAAAATCATACAATTCCAAAATCAATGGGTGTTAAATGATTTTTGTTATTCCATTGAAATTTTAATATCTATCAACGTTTATTTTGTTTATATTATTTAGACCGTTGACTAAAATCGATGATGTTAAATTGTTTATGAACATTTTCATATTAAAATGCATGTTTACAGAAACACTTGAGGTAAAACAATTGTTTTATAAATCCTTTAAACTTAAATGGCGTGAGAGTCTATGTGTAAATACAACTAAAACACGTTGTTTTCAACAAATTCATAAAATTTTTGTTTATTTGGCAGATCTGTAAAGTATTTATTTTCCATGTACATCAAATTTAAGATTTAGAAAATACATGTGTAATAAATATATAAATTTGTATATTAACTAATTGCTAAATTTTGGCTAAAAGCCAAATATTGTCAAAGGCAATAAATTGTTTATTTACTTTCTAACTGTGTCACTTTTTATAAAAACTTTATAGAGTTAAATATAATAAATAAGAAATTTAACTCACCTCTCTCTACCTCAGCATTAATGTTGATGGTACGTAATCTTAATTCTTCATTTTCATAGATCATGCCACGCGATGACTTTCGATCCAATCTATAAGACAAAAGAAATTATATTTTGTTATTAAGAGTTTAAGATAAAGTTTTGTTATATTTCAAATTTGCCTTCTCAATTTATATGGACCCCACTGTCTATTGATATCTAACAACATGTTTTACTTAAATTTTTTTTTCTAGAGCTTTTATAAATTTTCCTTTAATCGTAATTTTTTTTTAATCTAATAAATATATTTAAACAACCACACAAAAAAATTAATCTTTCTTTTTAGTCTGAATGTTGTAAATAAACTAATTTGCTTATCTAATGTTCAATATAAAAATATATATTTATTTTTTTTTTACTTTAACTTCGTGTTTTCATTTCAACAATAAAAATATTCATATATTTGTTTTTGTATCTTTTTTTATCAACTAATAAATTTATTTATTCTTTATATATAGTTTTTCCCAAAAAAAGAGGCGAATCCATAGCTAGAAACACGTTTGATTTATACTAATAAGAAAATTCAATGTTTACAAATAAACAAATAAATATCTAACTATAACTATAGAAAGTAAATAAAATCAGTGGGAGAATAGTTTTAAAATATACATATTTTAATAAACATAAACAAATACGACAAAGGTAGACAATATTCTTTAATGTATTTAAGATTATCCCAGCAAACTTTTTAGACAGTTATTTTGTAAGTAATATTAATTAAAAATTAAATGGATCATTAATAATTCTAAGACGATCTAGCCATGTCCGTCGTCAGTCCATCTGTCTTTTGAAAATACGATCCTGTCCAAGCAATAAGAGCTAGGGAGCTGAAATTTTTCAAAAACATTCTGCATCAATGCAGTTTTTTTGTTATTGAAAATGGCCATATCGGTCCATGTTTTCGCATTGTCCCCAATCAAATGGCCCCCTGAAAAACAGTTTCAGCAGCCATAGCTGGTTTAAAAACACCAGCATAGCAATGATATTCCACACAAACATGTTCTATATCTCAATTGAGCTCCCTGGTTTATTTTCCAACACACGTACGTAACTTCCAAACTAAGAGAATGAGAGCTTGGAAGTTTTTTGATGGAGTTACACATAGAGAAATCTCTGTTGTTAAACATATAGATAAGTTCTTGCTTGCCGAAAGTTATTTTTGCATATGAGAATGTTTGATATTTAATATTTATTTTAATTTTAAAATATCTCAAGAAAAATTATCATTAAATATGTAAAAAAATTTATTTGAAGAATTTTTTTCTGAGTAATTGTAAAAAATAATGGGAATTTTAATAAAGGTGAATCAACGACATAAACTCCTCCTAAAAAAATACCCGCTACTATGTTAATTCTTGATATACAAGCCTATTTACAACATAATCCTGTAAATATTTTCAATTAATTGACATTTATAGCACTGTATATGAGCGCAAAAGTTCTTATATACCTAACGATCCATTATTTGTTTCATTTTTTCAAGGAGTATACATATATTAAGATTCATTTTGTATCTAATTTTGCAAATAAATGCATTTCCGAGAGCAATGTTCAAAAATAATAGGTCGTGTTTAAAATTTTTCCAATCCTATTCATAAAAAATCCACAAATTTTAATGTTTTTTATACCCTACACCACTATAGTGGGGAGGGTATTATGCGTTTGTGCTGATGTTTGTAACACCCAAAAATATTGGTCCTACACCCACCTTAAAGTATACCAATCGACTTAGAATCACTTCCTGAGTCGATTAAGCTATGTCCGTCTGTCCGTCCGTCCGTCCGTCCGTCTGTCTGTCTGTCTGTGTGTCCATGTAAACCTTGTGCGCACTCTACGGGTCGCAATTTTTGAGATAATTTGATGAAATTTGGAACATGCACTTCTCTTGGTCCAAGGACGAACGCTATTGAAAATGGTTGAAATCGGTCCATTATTTCACCTAGCCCCCATACAACCGGACCCCCCGAATAGGGCTTTTGACCTCATAATTATGTTAAATGATCTGCTATCTCTACAAAAATTGGAAAAGTTTAGTTTTATATATGTATTAATAATTCTAGTGATTTTCGTAAAGATCGGGCATTATTTGACCCTAGCCCCCATATAAAGTCCCCCTCAGAAAATCACTTTAATGTCCACAATTCACTTATAAACAGTAGTATCACGATGAAATTTGGCACAAATGCGTTTTATATAAACATAATTCCCAACAATAAATTTTATAGGGATCGGACCAAGTTTTACTCTAGCCCCCATATAAGCGTACCTTCCGATTTGGGCCTTTTAGCTCATAACTTTGTCAAATATACTACTATCTCTCCAAAAATCGGCACAACTAAGTTGGATATAATTATAAATAACACTGTCGACTTTTATAATGATCGGGCATTATTTGACCCTATCCCCCATACAAAATCCCCTTCAGGAAATGACTTGAATGTCCACAATTCACTTATAAACACTAGTATCAATATGAAATTTTCCACAAATAGATTTTATATAAACATTTTATATAAAATGTCGACATTAAATTTTATAAGGATCGGACCAATTTTTGCCCTAGCCCCCATACAACCGGACCTACCGATTAGGGCCTCTTAGCTCATGACTACGATAAATATACTACTATCTTCCCAAAAATTGGCACAACTAAGTTTGATATGTAATTATAAATAACACTGTCATTTTTCGGCGTGATCGGAAATAAAAAGTAGCCTATTGCCAGACATACGAATGTGCTGTGAAAATTTTAAGAAAATCGGTTTAGCCGTTTAGTAGTATATAACGTTCAAACATACAAACATATAAACATACAAACAAACACACATTCATTTTTATATATGTATATAGATAATTCCCAATAATACATTTTATAAGGATCGGCTCAATTTCTGCCTTAGCCTCCATACATCCGGACCTTCCGATTTCGGTCGTTTATCTTTTAACTACGTCTAATATACTACTATCTATCCAAAAGTCGGCACAATGTGGTGATGTTTGTAGCACTCAAAAATATTTGTCCTTATTAAGCTATGTCCGTCTTTGTGACCGTGTAAAACTTATGTGCACGCAACAGATCGCAATTTTGAATATAATTTGTTAAAATGTGTCACATACTATTCTCTTGATCCACTGACGATGGCTGTTGAAAATGATTAAAATCGGTCTTCTATTTTTCCTAGTCAGCATAAAACAGAACATGAACAGACATTATTTGGAACCTATATAAGATTAACAGAAATGCTTAATTATTGAAATTAATCACATTTAATATTCGCAATTGGTGTAGGGTATCATATGGTCGGCCACGCCCGACTATAATTTCTTACTTGTTTATTATTGTAAAATAGTGAAGTCACTACACCAAAAACACAAAAAATTTTACAAACTTTTCTCTCAGTGCATGGAATGCAAAAACACAAAGTGTAGTAGTCTTTGTGCGGAAAAAAAATTTTACGCTCTACCGATGTGTGTTTTATATGAAGCGCAATCGCCATACCAAATTTTATGAAGATCGGTTCCTAGCCCCACATAAGGTCCCTTTCATAACCTCTCTCTATGTGACTTTAAAGCTTATAACATACTTCAAAATCTCAGTAAACCAACGAAATTCGACATAAACAAGTTTTAGAGGAACCACAATCTCCCTAAAAAATTTTAGTTGCTTCAAGATTTTATTATATCAACGACATTGACATAAGCATGATTTATAGAAACTAAAATCCTTCTGCTAAACTGATCCAACTTCCCTTAATTGATCTCACTCCCCTTATAAGGTCCGCCATAGAAAATGTCTTTAACACTCAATATCAGTATACGATAATTTCTGGGAAACAGTCAAATCACGAACTCATAGTGGTAGAAGACCCAATGATCATAGCTCCCATATAAGGTTGTAAATAATAACAATATTTTTCCGGATAAGTCAAAAATAGCTATAACATAAGTTCCAAAACAGAAAATCACTAAAATATTCTTTTTCTGAACTTGTTCAAAATTATTTCCATATGCATAGTAGGGTGTCACGTGGACCACATTTTTGTAGGAATACTTCTCAAACGCATTGGTCTCAAAAATTAAAATTAGACCATCAAAAAAGATGGGGGGTATATCGATTTTGTCATACCGTGTGCCACACATCGAAATATTGTTCACAGACCCCATAACGTATAAATATTCTGGGACCTCGTAAGATTCTAAGACGATCTAGCTTTGTCCGTCCGTCCGTCTGGCCGTCTGTCTGTTGTTGGCGCGATTGCGTCCACAAAAAAAAGAGATATTAAGACGAAATATTCCCAAAATATTTTTTATTGATTAAAAATGTTTGGTAGTGAAAATGGGCAAAATCGGTCAACGATTTCACATAGCCCCATACAAATGTACCCCCCGGAATATTGTGTAAAAAGATTCAAACATTCACAAATTCGTTGTTTATGAAGCAAACACCACAAAATTTCGCACAAGTCAGTTTTTTGACTTCCTAAATAGAATTCTGGCCCTACCCCCATATAAGGTCTCCTTTAAAAAACTACATTAATGGCTTAAAACTACAAATATATAGCGATTAAATTCTACACACATAAGTCTCATGAGAGCCACTATCTCTCCACAAAATTTTATATGGATCCGTCCATAATTCGCGAAAATTACTTTAACGCTCATTATTGGTGTAAAAATACGAGATATCGTAGGAATTTGACATAAGTTAGTATCTTAGAAGCCATAATTGACCCTACACCCCACATAAGGTAGGGTAGAAGGGGGACCATAGCCACTTTTTTTTTTGAGGCGGCCTCAAATTAAAACCACAATACATATTCTTAATTTTTTTCTTGGTTCGGATACTTAGATATGTTGTCTTTAGTTTTATCCCTTTCAATCTTTCCTAAGTCATCCTCATACACATATTTTTTTAACTTTTCCACACTGACCAAAAACGGCGATACCGCCCATCCATGGGGTAAATACGCCAAGGGGATGGGGCAGATTTGTCATTAGTAAAATAAGCCAAAAAAATTAAAAAGTAAAAACTTATTTTGCTGTTTTATATT